GATGATGAAGTATCGTGTGTTTTCCCAACTCGATTGTCTCGAACCAAGCTTTGCCACAGCTTGTCCTTCGACGATAGGTGTGGACGACTTGGTTATTAGCCTTATCTTCTCACGATTTTGAGATGGTTCGGGTCTTAGCCTCGCCAACTCGATTTGTATGATAAAACTCTCACGAATTCTAAACAGACGGTTTTGTTCTCATGAAACGATTTTCCATTACTTCTTCCATCATATCTTTCGAATGACATATGGGTGGTATTTATAGATACCAATTAGATCTAATCCTAGTCTAAGAAGAACTCCTAATGCAAGTAAACAAATAAAGTCCTACGGAAAGTAAATACCTAGTAAATATAGATTTACGTAAACTACTTAGGCACATGCCTTTTATTCCATATCCTAGCCAAACTATTATTCCTAAGCTATTAAGGGAAATCGGCCCTTAGGCCTTCTAGAAGGATCTCGGGTTCTTGCTTGCGCGACACTTCACCTGAACCCTAGCCGTCGCGGCTAATCCTTGTCCTCCGAGGTCCTAGCCTTCTCCCGCGTCCCATGCGTCGCACGCGTCTGTTGCCTTGTGCCTCAAGTTGCGCAGATTCTCTTCAGTCGGCGCGCTATGCCTAATCCCTCGAGGACTCGCGCCATCCAACTCCCGCGTGCCTCGTGTGACATCGCCCGCACCTCGCGTGAACCCCTTCGCGCTATGCGCGCGCCTATTCCTTCGCGCGTTCGCTCCACATTCGCGCGTGTTGCGCTTGCTCAACTCGTCGACCCTATCGACCCTTTCCATTAGTGCGTTCGCGCCATCGCCATCATATCCCTGCTCGACCAGCGCCTTGCGCGTGACTCTCGTTATCGCAGCCTGCTCGTACCCGCTTGTCGAGCCCTTCGCATCGTTCTAACCCACTCTCGCGTCTGCGCCACTGCTTCCGCCCCATGTGCACGCTTTCCACCCTTCATCTATCCCTCGTGCTCCTTCGGCCTTAGCGCGCATGCGTCGCTTGCGCCGGTCTCTTGCGCAAGCCCTACACCATTCGCCCTCTCCTCCGGGCTCAATCTTCTCGCTCTCATCATCGGCCCAATACGCGACTGTGGGCGCATCTCCCATCGCGTAGCCTCTCCGGGCCTTCTTAACATGGTCTCGGTACTCATCCCGGGCCCTCGCGCGCTTCTTCTCACGGCTTTCGCGCGACTCGTCCTCGGGCTCGGATGGGTCGATGACCACATCCGCATCAGAGGAGGCTAACGCGAAGCACGGGCGATAACGCGCAAGGCACGTGGGAGTTAGATAGCGCAAGTCCTCGAAGGATTAGGTGTAGTACACCGACTGAAGAGAATCCGCGCGACTTGAGGCGCAAGGAAGTAGACGCGTGGGGCACGTGGGGTGACCAAGGCCGAGACCTCAGAGAACAAGGACTAGCCATGACGGCTAGGGTTTGGTCGAGGCGCGCGGCACAAAGGGACGCGCGATCCTTCTAGCCTAAGGGCCGATGTCCCTTAGTAGCTTTGGAATAATAGTTTGGTTAGGATGTGGAATAAAAGGCATGTGCCTAAGTAGTTTAGGAAAGTATTTATTTAGTTTCCTTAGGACTTTATTTGTTTACTTGCATTAGGAGTTCTTCTTAAACTAGGATTAGATCTAATTGGTATCTATAAATACCACTCATATGTCATTAGAAATATATGATTGAAGAAGTAATGGAAAATCGTTCGTGAGAACAAAACCGTGTGTTTAGAATTCATGAGAGTTTTATCATACAAATCGAGTTGGCGAGGCTAAGACCCGAACCATCTCAAAATCGTGAGAAGATAAGGCTAATAACCGAGTCGTCCACACCTATCGTCGAAGGACAAGCCGTGGCAAAGCTTGGTTCGAGACAATCGAGTTGGGAAAACACACGATACTTCATCAGGGCGCTGTCACGTGCGCTGAGGGCGGCGGTGCCTCGCATTCGCTAGACGCGGGCACGGATAAGGCACTGCCTGGCCTCTGCGATGCGGCACGGTGATGAAGATCGCGTGTCCCGATTGTTGATAAGCCACAAACTCGTGCCTTGAATCGCCGATAGGTGCCTCGTAGGTTCACACAACCGCGCCCCTTCGAAACGATAAAATTGCAAAAGAAATCAAGAAGAAATCTAAGGCAAAGTGTTTGAACAAAAGTTCGGTTTTTCTATTAATTTCTGAATGATCCAAAAATAACAAGAGAAAGGGCCTTTATATAGGCATCAAATAGATTTATTCCTAATCTAGCTATAACTCTAATAAAGCAATAAAATATTAAGTATCCTAAACAATCTAGAAATCATAATGGAATAAGGAAACCAAAAAACTAAGGGATCTTGAAAAGCATTGACTTGCACTCCAAGCCAAAAACCCCAACCACCTTACTTGCCGCCTTTGGACCCCGCGCGCCTTGCCTTAGTCCTCGGGGACTAAGGTTGCGCAGCCCGTCCTCGCGCGTGCCTGCGTCCCTGCCACCCGAGGCTTTGTCGCGGGCGTCCCTCGCGCCAGCCGCGTTCGTGCCACTCGCCTCACCCCTCGCGACCGCATTTTGCTCATGCGTTAGCCGCGCGTTTTCTTCCGCCGGGTCCGCCTCGCCGACCTCGCACGCCCCGCACGTGATGGCTTGCATCTCACCCGCCTGCCGAGCTAACCTCTTGTGCGCATTGTAGGCCCGACTCGAGGCGTTCTTCAGCTGCCTAGCCACATCCGCATCACACGGGCACGGCACGCGCGACTGGCGCGGCTGGTGACCGTAGCCAGTCCTTGCCGGTCTTCCGGCCACTATTTCCGGTGACTACTGAACCAACCCAACATAGTATGACATAATACACATAAAAATGCCATAAGTCACTGAGAGACCTCGGGTGGATAATGAGGTGGGCTTATAGGGCCTACACGGCTCGTGGCCACACTAGGTCACCGGAACGAACTTGCTAAACATATAAATTCACTTAGGGCCGAGTTATCTACATTAAAAATCATGGCTATGGAGGCTAGAACATTGGTCATAACATGCATGCACATAGACATAGGTTCGGAGGTGAAAATGGCTCAGTTTCACTTAGCAACTTGACCGAACATATGAACTCAAAGCATGCTAATCTCTTACCAATGTAATCCACATGATTTTTAAGGAATAATAAGCTATGAAAGTCGGCCTAAGCATGCATGCACAAGAATTTTTGAATTTAAGGCTTATAAGTTTGAAAAATCATAACTTCATATATCTCACGTGCATGGCATCATATTCTTACATGATAATTCCTATTTTATCATGAATAAGCTGGGAAAAATGGTTGGCACGAGCTTACCTTGCTCGCAATCCGAAATGGTGCCAAACGACTCGCTCGGGCTAAACTCGCGGTGTCTCGCATCCTTGGCTTAGCTCGGGGCTTATGGCTGAGGTTGATAGGCTCAAGTGACTTAGAAAAATCTAAATAACTCTTGGATAATGATAAGCCACTAGAGACCTCGGCTAGAGCAAGGTGAACTTGCGGCTTCTCCTTCACGGACCACCTTGCGCCCGCGGAAAAAGGGCTGAGGTCTTGCTCTCGGTTTCTTTCTATTTTCTAAGTGTTATGCTCGAAAATTATAAGTATCCAAGAGCTCTAACACTCAGCTGAAGGTGAGGTATAAATGGGAGCTGATGGGCGGAGCAAACAAGGCTTCAAGTGGGGGACATGCTTCATTTCCATGCGCATAGGAGTTGGGGAGAATCCTGGACTTGTTGGCCTGACTTTGCACGTTTTAAGGAGCATCTGGCAGAGTATAAGATGATGGGGGAAGTGGTCTGGTCGAGCTCCCATGAAGTGGGGGACAATCCTTAACCCACATGCATTATAATATTAGCTTGCACATGCTACATTTTGGAGTTACTTGTGATGACTTATGCTTAATCTTTATGAGGGCTAATTTGGCTTAAATTAACCCTTAAGAAGCTGTAAATAACCGCATGATATTGGGCTTAAAAGAAATGGGCTAGAACTCAAGCATTTGGGCTCAAGAAGTGGGCTGTGCAAGCTGCCGCTGGGCCTAGCACGAGGGACACAGGCGCGGCACTTAGGGCTGGGGCGCGCGGACTTGCTAGGCTTGCTGCTGCGCGCGGAAAGGACTTGGGCCGGGCTTAAGGTTTGTATGATGGCTTCATAGGTGCCACAAGACTTAGAAAAATTTTCCTTTAATACTCGGTGATAATTTGGGGCGGACTAGGCACGGTTTTGGCCCGAACTCGCGAACCCTATGGGCGAGTTATCTCGGGGCCACGCACAAGCTCGGTGCGGCATAAACAATTGAGAGAAATGATATCTAAGGTTCGATGAACATGATCTCAAACTTAGGAAATATTCTAAGTAAGATTATGAGCACGACTAGGGCTCGAACGAGACTTGGCACGGCTAGGGCTCGATACTCGTGACCGAATGACTCGGTTCCAGACACGGCTTGACTTGGACGATATATCGAAACGTACTCAGTTTCGATTATTCGTCAACTTGGATAATTAATTCCGACTGAATAAAATAAATCCATTTCTAAAAATGAATGGACCAGAATTAATAACTGAGATTAAATAGCTGATAACTGGGCTCGAAACACAAAACGAGCAGTATTAATAAAAAGAAATAGTTCAACTTGGAACTAAAAACAGTCACTTTTATTAATACAAAGTTGGGCTATTAAACGGGGTGAAAGGGCAGGGCAGGCAAGACCTGGATCATTACCCGAACCTGTCCCGTTCAATTAACAGGCCAGGCCTAGCCCGACCCAATCCAGAAACACGTCGGGTTTGGCCTATCCTAAATTGGAGTTGTAAATATATCAAATATTTCAGATTCGATTCGTGATTCGAATTCGATATTCTTGATAAGTTCGAATTCGACTTCGAATAAGAATATTTAGTATTCAAAATTTATTCGAATCTGAATTCAAATATGCACATATTTGATTCGTTAGTAATAATTATATATAATTTAATATATAATACATATTATAATATTTTATTCATATAACCTATATAAATATAATAAATATAAAATATAAAGCACAAAAAATTATTTATATTTATAAAAATTATATTTAATTTATTTATAAAATATATAAATATATTAATAAATAATTTCTAAAAATGAGAATCAAATCGAATCGAATGTAATTGATTATCTTAATCGAATCGAATAAGAATTTTAATTAAATCGATAACAAAATGAATATTAATAGTCCAATACTTTCAAAAATTAGAATCCAATAGTGTAGTACTCCTTTCAAGTATTTTTGCTATTCCTAGGCACCTTTCTAATTGTAATCAATGTTCTGAAAACTGGATCGGACCTGCCGACCGGCCGGTTCGACCGGTTCAACCGTGAACCGGCCAATACTCCGGTCCGGTTTGAAGTATGAATTGCTCAGGCTCAAAACCGGATAAAAACTGCTTCAACTGGTCAATACCATTAAAATTGTCTAAACCGGTAGCAGTTTATCCGGCCAACCAGTCCAGTTGGCTTTGCATGGATGTTGCTGCACAAGCAATTAAATAGAGGAAGAGTTTTGTTATTTTACCGATGAGCATTACAACAATAAGAGAAATTACCCTCTACACTAAGTTATTCCTTTTATATTATATAATTACACTCTTTATATAAATATTAGCAAAATTACTAGAGTTGTTATATTTATTTGCACTTATGCTAGAATAATTATTTAGTCATTAATTAACTTAATTAATCACTAATTAACAAGAATGAGGGAACGTGTTAGTTTTTCTAAATACTGATTCCCTATTTTTATGGCAATAAAATATCGCTCTCATACCTATTAGCGAGAATAACTGGAATCCGACTCGACAGAAGACTGGCGGAGGCGTGAACAAAGATGTGGGAGCAGGCGCCACGATTGGAACGAGGATATTTATCAAGCGGCGCGGCTACGTCTCTAACGATGACGACACCATCGACGTACGGCCATTGACGGAGGTGCGGTTCAACGGCGGCGGTCAGCAACTATGGTGACTTTAATCCAATCTAATCAAGTCGCAGGCTTAAGAAACTAGAATGGAATTTGAAGGAGCTTGTTCTGGATGAAGTTAGTGTGCTCTTCATTGTTTTCACTCTTTTGCACATGATGTCTCATGACTGAATGTTCTGTCATTTTACTGTAATAATTTTGTATTACTTTGGAAACTAGACAGTTGTGTTTTGAATCACATCCATGATTTTTCCTTTTTTTTTTTTAACTTTAATATGCTTTTATTTATTTATTTATATACTCGTTTATGCTTGATAAAGTAGACGCCGGCCATTTCTGCAGCTTTTCCATCTTAATTGAGCATGATATCTCACTCCCTATGATTTATTGTCGATAAGCTTGTATATCCCATCCCTAAAAAATAATGTGACACCCTTTTGTTTTCATGTTACTGCTAAATATTCTTTCGGATTATTGATAAATTTAACATTTTTTTTTTAGAGTACATGCCCAGTGGGGAGGTCAAGTTAGAGATGACGACATCGGCACTCGGCAGTATATGTTGTGTATATAAGCAGTATATTTTTAATATATGTTTTCGTAGACACAATCACGTAAATGTTTTCAATGAATTGAGCTTAGTATCACGTAAATGTTTTTCAATGATTTATTATTTTGTGGGATATGTTTCGTTCATATATAGTATATTTTTCAATATATGTTTCCTTAAGCACAATGGACAGTATATGTTGCGCGTATAGGCAGTATATGTTTCATCGTGTGTTTCTCATATAGCCCGTGCTTCATTTGTTTAGCATACACTCTACATATACTAAAATAATTTATTAAAATAATGATTATGATCAATTTATGATATATATATATATGTGTAAGGATATATACTGAACAAAAATTCAAATATCACAATTGTGATTGAGATAAAAATGCTTTTTAAATAAACGCAATATATACTATCTATTTTGGACAAAAAATATATAACGATAGATATCATTATAAAACTCATAAGAGAACAACATTCCAATACAAGGGGGAAACCCCAATCAAATCCTGAACTAAAAAATGAGAGGCACATCAACAAGATGGCCTAGAGCCTCAGCTACACAAAATGAAACTAAAGGGAACAGGAAACCATGGCCACTGCTATAAGGCCTAGCATTAATCTCCTGCTCCAATCCAACTACTACAAAACACCAAGAGAAACCAAAAGGAACAAACTGAAAGCTAAAACCAGAATTACAAACACAAAGCACAAAGCTAATAAAACCAAACTAACACTGACCACTATCCCATCCTAATGAACAGAAGAAAATTCGATCCATTCCGCATGAGCTGTTTTCAGGACTAATGGAATAGGCATAAGGTTATTCTGAAAAATCCACAAGTTACGGGTCTTCTATAACCACCATAGCAAGTAAGTAGTCAATTGAATTCTGTGGTTGGAGACCTCTGATTTAGCAATGTAACAAACCTGTTGCCACCAATGTTTGACGGATGATTCAAAAGGTGATAATCCATCCCAGGAGATTGGAGCCCTCTCCCATAAACTTTTAGCTTTGTTGCAGAAGAACATCAGGTGCTCTACTGTCTCAAGTGCATCTCCACAACTCCTGCATCTTCCTTCAAGCTCCAGTCCTTTCTTCATCAAATTGGCTAGAGTAGGCAGAGTGCCATTGAGGCATTTCCACAAGAAAAGCTTGAGTTTACCTGGGATATGCAAAGGCTAACTCCTCTGAAGGGCATTTTTCATGGGAATAGCATTGGAGCTGCTTTCATAGATAGAACCTTCTGCAAAACCAGGTGTTTATATGTGCTAGAGACTGAGAATTCTCCTTTCCTGTCAATACTCCATAAGAGCCTGTCATTAGCATTTGGCTTCAAAGTTTTGATGGCTAATATTGCCTTACTGTCATCAGCAGAAAAAACCTGTTCCACAAGCCATTGGTTCCAGTTAAGCCCATCAGCAAGCATCAGTTCATTAACATAAATAAGATGACCTCTGGCCAGCTCTAACAATTCAGGCCTATTCTTGCCAAGGTTTGGAACCCAGTTGAAGTCAGTACTTCTAGTTTGCAAGCCACTTCTGATTTCAATTTTCAAACACTGTGAGAATACAGGAAGAACTTTAAGCCAACAGCTCCATAGCCAAGAGTCTTTGTGTGATTTGACAGTTTGAACCAGAGAAGTGTTGGGAAAGTACCTATCCTTCAAAATTCTGCTAACAAGTAAGTCAGGCTGAGAGACTATTCTCCATAACTGCTTACAAATCAAAGCAATGTTAAACAGTTTGATATCATGAAATCCAATCCCTCCATTTAACTTAGGTACAGTCAATTTAGACCAACTCTTCCAGTGAATGCCGTTTGTGCTATCTTCATTGGTTTTCCACCAAAACTGAGCACATATTTTAGCAATTTCTTTGCATATACCTTGAGGCAGCATAAAACAGGATATTGTAAAAACAGGGAGAGATTGTATGACAGCTTTTAAAAGAACCTCTTTACCAGCCAATGAGAGAAGCTTGGATTTCCATCCTTGCAGCTTGCCTTGAATTGAATTCAGCAGGTAAGCAAGAACATCCTTCTTAGACCTGCCAATACCGAGAGGCAACCCCAAATATCTGGTTGATCTGTGACATTGAATGCCATTTAGGGCAGTGCACACTCTTTGCTGAGTATAAGAAGGAGTATTCCTACTAAAGAAAATGGCAGATTTTTGTAAATTAACAGCCTGACCAGTGAAAAGCCTATATTTGTTCAACAAATTCAAGAGAACCTCAACTTGATCAACACCAGCTCTACAGAAAAGCAATGAATCATCTGCAAACAACAGATGAGAGAGGAGAGGACCATTCTTGGAAAGCTTCATCCCATGCAATTGACCAGAATTCACAGCATCCCATATAAGAGCAGAAAATAATTCAGCCAAAATAATAAAAAGATAGGGGGATAGAGTCCCCCGGTCTAATGCCCCTAGAAGGTTTGATGAACCCACTCACAGCCCCATTGACTTTAAAGGAGATTGTAGATGATGAAATACAAACAAGAATCAACTTCACAAAGTCTCTATGAAAACCCATTTGAATCATGATTTGTTTGAGACTATGCCACTCCACCCTATCAAAGGCTTTCACAAGATCCAATTTGAGAGACATGAACCAGTTTTTACCAGTAGTGTGCCTGTTGAGAAAGTGAAAGGCTTCTTGGGCAATAATCACATTGTCCATAAGCTGTCTCCCTTTCAAAAAAGCAGACTGATAATTGCTGATATAGCTATCTACAAAGAGTTTCAGTCTTTGAGCAATAATTTTGGATAAAACTTTATAAACCACTGTACATAGACTGATTGGTCTAAACTGGTTCAAAGAGTCAGGCAAAGGACATTTAGGAATCAGAGAAAGGACTGTATGGTTTCAATATTGCAAGAGTGCCCCAGATTCAAAAAAACTCTGAATAGCCATGATAAAATCAGATTTAGTTACCTCCCAAAAATGTTGGTAGAAAAGGGCATTCATACCATCTTCTCCCGGGGATTTGTCAGGGTGGAGACTGAATAAGACATTTTTAATTTCTGACTCATCAACAGGTAGGAGCAAAGAATGATTCATATCTTCTGTAATAGACTGAGGTATCAGGTGAATCACAGAGTCACAGCCTATAGAGCCTTCAGAAGTAAACAGATTGGAGTAAAGCTATATGGGATTCTATTTCCAATTGGGAGCTGAAAACTTCAACTCTGGAAGAGACCAGTCTTGTGATTGCATTCATTCTTCTCCTCTGCTGTGTGTAGGCATGGAAAAACTTAGTGTTTCCATCTCCCTCTTTAAGCCAGGTGAGCCTTGACTTCTGCTGCCAGTAAGATTCTTCCAGAAAATGTGCACTATTAAGCTCTTGTCTTAATTTGGCCCATGTTTCCCATTTATCATCAGAAGGATCTTCTCTCAAAAGTTCCAGCTTTTTAGTCAATGCTAAAATGTTCCCCTGATTCTGAGTGTGAAGAGATGAGCTCCATTGGAGAAGAGCCACTCTGGTAAGCTTGATTCTTTCCTTGAGTTTGAAAAAAGGAGTACCCTGCACCATAGTAGCCCAAGCTCCCTTGACAACTTCAGTGACCCCATCTATGCTAAGCCATCTCTTGTCAAAGCTAAACCTCCTTGGCTTTCTGCTTGCATCATTCTCCAGTTCAATAAGAAGCAAAGAGTGGTCAGAAGAGCTCTTGACCAAATTATGAATTCTGACATTAGGAAAAGACCGCAAAGACCCAAACACTCGATCCATTTTTTCTTCTATAATCCCCTCATTCTGTCTATTATTGCACCAAGTGAACTGATATCCAACCATATTCACTTCCTTCATTTTCATATTGCATATAAAATTGTTGAATCCAGAAAAGCTGCTATTGATCCTAGTTACTCCTCCACTCTTCTCCACATTGGATCTGATAGCATTCCAATCTCCAGCCATGAACCATTGGTTGCCCCATTGCAGCTTTAAGGATTCAAGGATAAACCACTGCTCTGCTCTCTACACTCTACAGGTACTGAGGTATACAAAAATGCCCCATTGCTTGTCAAGAGAAGGATGTTGAAATTCCACTGCTATGAAGAAACTTTCACTTTTAATCTGAATAATGGTAATAGAGCTGTCCCACATAAGCAATAGACCACCACTTAAGCCATGAGGGCTAACAATAGTTGATCTGTCATCAAACCCAAGCTTCCTACTGACAGACTTAACAAAAGCAGTTGCTTTTTTAGTTTCTGAAATGAAAACAAAAAGTGGATGGTGAGACTTTAAAGTCTCTCTGATTTGGGAAACTGTAGAGGGCCCACCCAGCCCTCTACAGTTCCACACCGCAGCTAGCATTGGGTACTTGGGTGCCATTCTAGGCTGGCCTCTGCCACCTTTCCCTGAGCCTGCTTCAATTTCTTATTCAATGATCTCCCAACAAGTTGTTCCTCTTCTTCTTGATCTGATTCTGGAAGGTTAATTCTGGTTCTCTTATCCCCCAAAAGACAGATAGCTTTTTGCTCAGAGGGTTGTTGTCTCTGTAACCTGCCTGATTTAGAGCTGGTTCTCCTCCATGTTTTGGATGTTCCAATACTGGTTCCCCTAATAACTTGCATTGGTTTAGTTGAGATGGGATCTCCTTCCATTTGTGTATTAATCTCAACTTCCATTCCATTCAGAATTTCCTCATTGCCTGAAACTGCATTAATTGATATCTTTCCAGCTGGATTTCTTGGAGGATCTAAAGGATGTAAAAGGGAGTCCTCCTTCAAAGAGTTGGAGGCAACTGTATCAGCTCTATTTTCAATGATAGGATCTGTTGAAAAAGGGACTACCTGGTTCCTAGCAATGAGACTACTCGGAGAATTCTAATTTGTTTCATCATTATCCGGCACAGAAGATCTCCCAGACCTAGGAGAATGTTTGGAACCAGAATTATTAATTTCCACCCAATTAGATCCTTCTGCTGCCTTCATCCAATCACCGAATTGGCCCTCTCTCACTGTTTTATTCCGAATATCCTCAAGCCTCTTCGTGCAATCTCTAACCAGGTGCCCAATAAATCCACAATAATGACATAAATTGACAAGTTTTTCGTATTGGAAGCTGACGTTAACAATTTGGTTACCCAGTCTGATTGATGCACATCTAGGTAAAGCTTCATTGAGGTCAATAGTCACCAGCAGCTTTAGGATCCTCCCTCCATGATTGCCTGAACTAACTAGCACTACATTGTTTACCTCCTTGAATATTTTACCCACTTTAAGTCCAACATCCGTACTTAACCAATCTAAAGGAATGTTCAGAGCTTGGACCCAAAGATTAAGCTGAAGAAAGCCACTGTGGTTCCTGGAAATGTTATGCTCCCATTCTCGGAGAATTAGGTACTGATTTTCGAATATCCAGTTTGTGCCTCTGGCCACCTTCTTTAAATCATCCCTGTTCTGAAAAATAAACTGGAAAAAATTAGGTCCTAGCTCCTTTACCTCCATGGTCTGCTTCAGTTTCCAAATATGAGACATCGTGCATTGGACACCAATCCAGTGTGCTTTTCTGTCCCCCACAATTTTCTCGAACAAACTCCTTTGACATTCATCAGCACTTAAACGGATATCACTTGTTTCCAAATCAATCAGTGTAGATTCCTTATCTGATAGGGAAACACTATTGAGTTTTTTTTCCCACTTCCCTGGACTCTTCCATCTACCCTAGATCGACAGCTGGGTTCCGACCAAAGAAAAGAGATACAGGATAATACCAATAGCCGTAATCAGGATTATCAATAACTAAGCACAGATTGAAAATGAAACAACAAGTTGAAATTTTACATGAAATTAGTTGGTCAAGTTGAAATTTCACATGAAATTAGTTGGTCAGGTTGCCTTATGAATTATACTCTGAAATTTTAACCAAAATTTCACCTCCCAGAGTTAAGCAAAACCACTAATTTTCAGCTCCAAATTCAAAGCATGCTATTTTGTAAAATTCGAGCAAGTTTATGGGAAAAACGAGCATGAATTAGCAACCTGATCAAATGAAAGAATTAACCTATGAAATTTTCAATATAACTGAACCTAAATGAAATCCAAAAATTTCAATATTTTAACAGCACAAAATATACCACAAAACATGCACTTCAACCAAAAATCACAATTTTTCAGCAACAGATCAATTTTTCACAATTAAAACAATTTCTGGCAGAAACACAAAATAATTTATTTACCTAAGCTAAAATAATCCAAAAATTATGAAAATTTAACACAAGCTCTAGAACAGACAGGAGAACATTATATTCGAATTGTCAATATTAACTTAACCTAAATGAACTCCAAAAAATTCAATATTTTAACAGTAAGAAATATACCACAAAACATGCACTTCAACCAAAAATCATATGTGTTCAGCAATAGATCAATTTTTCACAATTAAAACAATTTCTAGCAGAAACACAAAATAATTTATTTACCTCAGCTAACATAATTCAAAAATTATAAATATTTAACACAAGCTCTAAAACAGACAGGAGAACATTATATACGAATTTCAAAAATTTTTGAGCACTACACATCTAATTATGCAATTAATATGAAACTGTCCAGAAATCATTCTAATTTATTAAAATAGCTACAGACCCCTTAAACTCATGAAATTTTATACACCCAGCTTTATTTCCAACAGTGGCAATTACCCTCAAAATTTTAAGGCAAACAGACCAGCGAACAATTTATTATAAATTTAATATGAAATCAGCTACTTTCAAATTTCAAAAATTCATATAAGACTCAATTCACGACGAAATCGTCCGAATTCTTCGCCATAAGATCAAGGACTCAACAATGTTCCATTTTCCACAGTCCTATACATGAATGATGAGCTCTCGTTTGATTTCTCAAAATTGACGAGTTCGTCTACACACATTCACATATATATCGAATCAATTTCGAACTCATGGACACAAGATTTTACATAGGCATCATCACATGAAATCGATAATCATATTCAACAATCAAGAACAAAACATAAACGAGACGTAAAATCAAACGAGACGGGTCGAGTCTTGTACCGTTCTCGGGAATCGATCGAAAATGGAACGAACAGTTCGAACGGACACGCGGCTCACGAGGGGAAGAACGGCGGCGCGCTTGACGGAAGCAGAGGCGCTGTCCGGCATCGACGTCCGCTACTGAGGGGTTGCGATGCGGAGGGGCAGTCGCCTGAGTGTGAGGATGACTCGCCTGCGAAGTGGAGTGATTGTGGGGGCCGCTACTCGATGACAGGGCCGCTGAACTTGTCGAAAGAGATTCGCAGAGACGGGAGGGGGTCGCGACTGGTTGCCGGAAGCTGCTGCGCGGGGTTGGAGTTGCCTGGTTCGCGCTCAGGGGAACTCGTCGGAAGTTGGCTGGCCGCGAATGGGGCTGACGAGATGATGCTCATCGTGAACAGGGATGGCCGACGAGATGGTGGCGGGCGATCGAGTTCTCGCGAGGAAGATGGTGAAGGCGAAAAGCGAGGGTGATGGTGAAGGATGAAGGATGATGATCGGGTCGATGAGGGTTTTGGGATTTCTGCTCGCGAATATGACAGACGAGAGAGAGATATATCACGAGGGTGATCGATCAGATTTTTGGGGCTGCGGGTCTCTCTATTCTGATATATAAGCGCGAGAGAGATCGAGACTTAGGGTGAATCCTTGTCTTGTAAACCAAGAAACCTACACGCACACACTCACGCGGGGTTCGGGTCGGGCCAACGGGTACGGGCGCCGGTTTTTGGGCCGATTCGGGTGAGTGCTCAAGGAAACGATTCAACTCTCGGGCCTGACTCGACGTAAAATTAAATTGGTTCCGAAAATTAAATCGCACGTACATAAATAACCCGAATATTATTTCTATATTTATAATACACACAATTTAATTTTTAAAAATAATAATATTAATAAAATACAAATACACATTTTAATTAAATAACAAAACTTAAACAATTAGGCAATTAATTACAATTTGACAAATAAACCAAATTAGACATTTAAAAAAATTTAACATTCAACAAATAATAATAACAACAAATAAAGACAAATAATAATAATAATAATAATAATAAATAATTTCAAAATATTCAATAACCAAACGGGGCATTACTATCTACCCTCCTTAAAAATTTTCCGTCCCCAGAAAAAGGTCTTATTCCTAGAGTTGATCAAACTTATTCTCTTACGACATTCCTAGTTACTATCTTGGGTTGAGGGTGGAGCAAAGAGACCCTCGTCATCGGTCGACTCACTTGTATACGATGTCTCTCCGGTTTCCAACGGCACTTCTCTTTCTTCCCACAGACGCCCGAGTTTGATCACAAAGTCATAGAATAGAATCCATTTGCTAGGGTAAATACTTAATTGAAATTTATTGCTGAATCTTTTTTGATTTATGAAAAATCGACCCCTTGTTAATTGCTGAATTTTGGTGTATAAGCTCATTTTATGATGTGTTTCGTGATGTAAAAAGTTCAGATTTAATTGAATTCATTTTGATGTGTTTTTGTTGAAAATGTGTATTCTGCTGAATCTTGCAATAAATCCTATAAATCGGGTGTTTGAGTTTTAGAGCTGGAAATTTTATGTGTTGATATTCACATGCTGGAGGTGGTTGTGTACAAATTTCAAGGCTTAAATCGTTCACTACGTCAGACTATGAATTCATGCTCGTTTTGCTGAAATCTTGTTTGAATTTTATAAATTTGGGTATTTTGAGTTAAGGGCTGAAACTTGGTGGTATTGCTATGTCCAGTGAGGTTAATTTTGTGTTTAATTTTTAGAGCCTAACTCGTTCATTTGCCTGACCAACTTGGATAGGTGACATTTTCGTCTAATATTCCAAACAGTTAGTTTAATATTATTAATCTGAAATTTTAAGGTAACCTAGTATACTTGCTACTTGTCTTGACTATCCTTTATTTGAATTTCGTCTGTTCCCATAATTGTGTTGGTCGAGTCTAAGTGCTAAGTCCAAGAGTTCCAATGTCCACAGGACTCCACGAATAACTTAGTTGAGTCAAGTTTGACTAAGTATGATTGTGTTTTTCCTCCTAAGGTCAATGTAAGGCCCCACTTTTATTTGCCGAAAATCAGAATAAATTTTTCAAATTTATTTCAAAACACCTGAGGCGCTACTCATTTTCAAAACGAACTTCAATACTTAAACAGTTTCTGTAACGCCCCAAAACAGTAATAATATTCAGAACGGTTTCACTGCTCGACTATAAGTGAAATCCGTAATTTTCAGAAATTATCGAGTTATATTATTTATGCTAAATTCTCAAACATGATAAATTATTTTTTGAATAATTCTATCTCAATTATAAGTTAAGATTAATCCATTAATTTGGGTTGGTAAACAATAGCAAGTCAATTCGAGAATTTATCGACTCCAAACCCTAGTTTGGTTCCGAGTTAATTTTCGGGTAAATCCCGAGCATAGCCAAGTATTGGTATTTTTATACTTAGAATATTTTTCTAAGTGTATTATAATACCAAAGTCAAGTCTTGATCATTTAAAATCGAACCCTTATAGCATAACCGAGCCCCGAGCCATTTCGCGCCCGAGGCCACCCGAGCCTTGACCTAGGCCATGCCATGACCTTGGCATAAGTTGGTAAAATTATTCTAAGTGTTCTTGGACCCTTGGAGTGCCTTAGGACTCGGCCCAAGACCACCACACGCGAGCAGCCCTTTTTCCCGCGCGCAGCCCGCTACTCGCGCCAGCCCAACACGTCCCCGCGCAGCCCAGCAGCCCCTCGCGCCCAGGCCCAGTGCCGCGCCCCAGCAGCCCAGCGGCAGGAGTGGCAGGCCCACTTCTAGG